CCGAAACCAACCTGGAAACACATCATTCCTGTATACCTGATTGCAGATGAAGGCCGTGGTTTTAAGAAAAGCCAAATCATGGTGCTTGGATCCGAACCTGTTCTGGGTGAAGGATGTGAGGCTGAGGATGCTATCACAGCTTCGGAGTCCCTCAAAATGAATTTTCGGGGCAACACATTCAAAACCAGGCAGCTTTATACTGTACTCCCGAAAAAAACCTACAACAAAGATTCTGAGCCATTGCATAATGCAGTCAATCAGTGGGCTGATGATTTGCGCAAATGCTTTTCCGGCCTCCGGGTGCAGCATGAGGATGAGACCATTGAGCTTCGCGTGGCAGTTCTAGGTTTAAAAGCTGACTGGCCTGCGTTATCTAAGCTTGGTCGATTGGAACGCAATTTTGCCAGAGAAGCCTACCCATCTGGACATGGAATCTGTCACTTATGCTCTGCGAATTCTTCTGAATGCCCAGAGTGGCACCACCATGACCTCACAACTGCGCCCTGGATTGCTACAATGGGCACTGCAGACTTCCCTTGGAGGCAAACCCGAGAATCTGGACTTACAAGGAATATTCCCATGGAGCCGGGGCATAAGCAACGGTTCTACCTGGTGGACATCTTTCATACGTGCCATAAAGGGGTTCTCGCGGATCTTGCTGGGTCAGGGATTGACGCCTAGCTACACATATAGTTTGCTCAAGCCTGTTTTCTACAATCTCATTTTTCAGTATGTTCTATGTCCTGTTGTGGCAAAATGTACTGTGCTGTGATTATATGAACAAATGAGAACGCCTGCCCCAAACCCCATAAACAAAGCTATGTAAGGTAACCCTGGTGGACTTCCAACTGTCTGGTTCACATGCGACCGGGGCCATTCCATCCCTGGAGCATATCTTCATTGAGATGAAAGATTTCGCAGCTGAACAGCACATGTACTTGCACATGACTGGCCTGACAAGAACCCTGCTGAGCTGGAGTTCCAGCGCAGAGTTTCCTACTGGGTACTTTGAATGTTAAAGGAACATTTTTGGAGCTTGTTGGGTGGGTCTATATTATAGCGGGTGTAATGGCTTCGATCAATCCTCTATAGTTGAGCTTAGGTCATGGTTCAAAGGGGCTGACACGGTAGTTGTTCTCAAGTACCTCGCGTACAAGTTCCAGCAGATCTTTGCCTCCGATGTACGTATGCGGGTCGCTACAAAACGGTATCTTGAAGAGATTGCCAAGTGCCTACATCATTCGAATGAGTTTATGAGCTCCCTTTACAAATCGGGCTTATTCATTCCCCCTGCGCGTTTGGATGGGATTGTACGACATGGGCAAGAGCTGCTGGCATCGTATGCCACGTGCGCTGGCATGGCTTACAAGCTACGCCTCCCAAGGTTCAAGTTCAATCCGAAGTTTCATATGCTATGCCACCTGCTCCTTGATATGCGCGAGGCACTTGCCAACAATGACAGTGCCCTGAACCCAACCTCGTTTTCCTGCCAGATGCCAGAGGACTTTATTAATAAATGTTCCACTTTATCGCGAGCTGTGGATGCAAGAGCAATCGCAAACCGAACGATTGACCTGTACAGGGTTGCAGTAGCCGATGCATGGTGATTGAAGATGATCATGCATGAAAAAGCCTGGACCGAATTTCTACCACCGGATAAAACCTGTAACCACTTACGGGGTTACAACATTTGTGCGCAACTAAGCTATCCAGG